GATACCGTTACAAATTTCTTAAACAATATTTATTTCAGAAGAGCTGGTGGCCATTTCTATACAGTGGATCCAATTTTTATTGGTTTAGAAGCAACCTACCGAACGAGCGATATCTTATAAAAAAAAAAACGAGAATATTTTTTAACAATAGCGACACATTACGAAAATGGTTGCGTTCCCTCGATTTTCGCGAAAGATGAAAAAAATATTGAAGATTATTTATTTAATCTTCTTTCAAACAGATGGATTCGTATTGTCAAAATAGAAGGATCTGGGAGTATTAATTTTGAGTTGCTGAATTCTGTGGCCAGTTAATATCGGCAACAGCTGCATTGCTCACGGTTGAGAAGAGAGAACGAGGACAAAGTCAAAAAGAGTCCACTCTTTAAATCGATGGCATTCATGTTTCTGATATATTCCCATTTTGATTGTATTTATGATGTATTGCGGAACGTCTATCCGCCATCAACTCGTTGTGTAATTTGCTTTGGTTGCAAACCGGTTTCGGCGTTGTGCCATCTTCAGTGCAATTTTTCATTCACCTTTTTCAGCATCTCTTGGTCCGGATTCAAAAATAAAGTCAACTCCTTTTTTCCTGCTAAATAAAAGTATCAAGCAAAACACAAGCCTGCATTATAGAGAGCCTGAATGCATTAAATTTATTGTGTTCTCTCACTTTTCACTTTTAGAACTCTTGCAAGCAGTTTCTCGCGTACGACCACATTTCCAACGACCGCTTGGCATCGTATTTGGCAATAAAACTGTAATTTACGTTGACGATCCCGCAACAATGGAACAGTTTTTCAACGCGCCTGAATGTATAGACAAGTCGTTTTTTCAAGAGGGGTTCTGCTTGCGTCGTGGTCTTTTACACGCTAAAGGTACCTAGTAGGAACTCGAATATCAATCAGCTTAACATAACAAAAGTATGTATGTGTGTGTAGTATTTATAATATACATATGTATGTATCTCCTAAGGCGCTGCCTGGAAATCTCGTCGACGTCAGCTGGACCCGGCCTTCGGTTCTAAAGTTTTACTCAGCTTCATTGACACCTTTAATACTGTGGGCAATCAATTGGTGCATAAATTCGAAACGGAATTGCTTGGTGACAATATTCAATTCAATGTACTTGATGAAATGTTTTGCAGAGCTGTGCTCGAAGTCTCATGTCGTAAGTGTACATACACTGAGGGAAAACATTTTAGAATAAAAAAAAAACGTACTAAATTTAAAAAAATACGCATATGAAAGAGCACCAACCCAACTCTTTTTTTCCATCGGAATTATAAAATCTATTGTATTTTGGGATTTCCACCATATTTTGAGAAAAATATACAGAATTACATGAGTTGTACCAATTTGAAAATACCTCCAAAAATGTAAATTTTTTATAATTAAAATTATTTTTAAAAAATATTTTTTCCAAAACATCACTTCCGATGATAGAAGAGTTTAAGCTTAGAAGGCCTCCAAAATTTTTTTTATTAATTTTACCAACGGAACAAAATTATGACATTTTTGAGGGTATTTTCAAATCAGCACAGTTCGCGTAAATTTGATTATTCCTGTGGTGAGGTAACCTAATGTACATATGTATGTAAAAAATTCCAAAACTTGTAATAAATGTTTTAATCCATTTTAGAGACAACAATGGGCACTGAAACTAACTTCACAGCTGCAGACACTCAAGGGATTGCAAGAACCTATAGCGAGTAAGAGGCTACATTTTATTAAATTTTGAAAAAATTTTTTAATACTATATTTGTATAACCGCTTTTATTGATCAAGGCTTATGCATATATCAGCGTTGAAAGGCACGAAACCCTGGCTGCAAGTGGATTTCATATTTCGTCTGCTAGATGGCAAAAACTATAAACACTGCAAAGAACTTATGAAACATTTGGAGGACTTTGTAAAAATCGTAAGTTATAAAAATGTGTGGTGATGGAAAGAAGGAAGTGGGTCGCAAACAAAGTTTATGAATACCGCGCTCCTCTAAATTGACAGCTTACTTAGAGAGAAATTGAGTGAGGCATACAAATTTTCATTCTCAACTCGTACTAAAAACGGGAAAAAGTACTACAGTGAAACCTCGATATATCGAAGGTGAAGGACTTGGACAAATGCTTCGTTATATATCGACCCCTAACCGCCAAAAAGATGTAAGCAACATTTTTTCCGAAATTTCAGTTTTGATGCAGAAATACTCCTAGATTCATTTCTGTATCAAAAAGAAAATTTGGAAAACTATGTCGCTTACTTCTATTTGACGGTTAGGGCTCGAAATATCATGATCATATTAATAGGATATCAAAACGTCGCTACAATAAGAAATACAAAATTTTTGAAAAATTCGCTATAAGTACAGTTTATTTACTTATTTTATTTATTTTTTTTATAACGGGCATCTACTCGTCAACATATTCAGACTTTGCTATGTAGTGCTTTTAAGTCGACACTTCGCTATATAGAGGCCTTTGCAGCTGGAACTTTAAGCGTCCACTTCTCGTTTTATCTACGGAGCATTTTTGTATAGAAAAATCCGCAGCAAGGAGGTTTTTTAAGAAACTCAGCAAATATTTTGTTACATTGATTTTTCAGTTTTTGTTCAAGGCTCCTTATATCGAGGGCTCACTGTAGATATCCTTTTTAATATCCTACTATCCTAATTATCTCCTCCGACCAGTAAACTGAAATATCTCAATCTCTACCCGTCTAATTTTTTTCGAAAGCGATGGAGACCCAGGGAAAGCAATTACAAATTTTTTATGTTGTATGAAATCGATGTTTACAGGATATCACCTGTTTAATTTGGCATCAGCCTAATAAGTAAGCACTTCTTACCTTCTTATTTATTAGATCGTACAAAAAAAGCACGCCGAGTGGAAGGCGGAAAGTCAGAACACACTCCCGAGCACAATTTATCCCGATTCTAATCATGCTGAAGCCACAGTAGATTTTAAGAATGCCAAGAATATTTCCTTAGAAAATCCAGAACGAAAGCGTATTTTTATTGAGCAAATATTTCATATGGTCGATTCGGGTGAACTTCATATGGAGGATATTCTGGATGAGGCGCTATCCATGTTGATGGTGGTGAGTGGGAAATGAGCTCAGTTAGTTTCCTGTTCTTATAGATATTTTTAAATATTATTTCTTCTTTGCAAGTCATTCGAAACGATTTCAACAAGTGTTCTGGTCAACGTGCTGCTTTTGGCTATGCACGAGGATTGTCAGCGTAAATTACGCGAAGAAATCGCAACAACTTTTCCCAACAAATCACAAATAATCAATATTGATCCAGCGCTGTTGTTGCAAATGAAATATCTTGATGCCATCGTTTATGAATCGCTGCGCTTGCTCACCACCGTACCATTCAATATGCGCGCTGTGAGTAGAGATTTTTATTTTCAACTAGCCACTGGCAGCGGTTCAACTACTCGGCGAGTCAAAGTACCAAAAGATACTGCCTTGGTATTTGATGTTTTCAATATGCAACGTGATGCCAAGTATTGGGGTGCGCATGCCAAAGAATTTCACCCAGAGCATTTTGCAACAGGAAGTGGTGGATCAGCGGAACGGCATCCTTATTCATTTGTGCCATTTGCCAAGGGATTACGTTACTGCATTGGTAAAATTGAAATTAATATGTATGTGTGCATCTGTGATTATGTAAATTAGACCGTACCTGTGTAAAAAAGTTCGGCAAGGTAATTTCGAAAAAAAAAATCAAAAACAGATTATAAATGTCGCAGATAGGATGTATAATGTAAAAAACCGATCCCTAGGGGCGGCAAAATTTTTTTTTTTCGAAATGGTCTCACAAAAATACTTTAGACTCGGGGGTATTCGGCCAACTTTTTTTG